AGATATTTGATTTTCCTATCATTTGATCAATGTTTGTTTATTAGCTTGTCCTTAAATTGCCTTCTCTCACTTGAGCGTTAATTGTGACATTTCCAACTCCATGAGCGTAACCCCTTTGCATTAAAATATTTCCGACCCCCGTGAGGTAAATGGAGTTGAGACTTTACTTTGGTGAGTTGTTCGATGCTATTTGTGTTATGAACTGTGGTAAGAAGGATACGGTTTGGTGCACACACACACGACTCTGGAGTTATGACTGAAGTAGTTTTGGTAGTATTTTCTGATGACTTACTAATGTTTTGTTTGATTGCTTAGGTGATTTTGCAGGTTTTGATTTGAATTTTCAGCTTGACATGATTTTTCTTTCGCTTGAATTGCTAGAGACTAGCAATAAGCTGGTTGGGGGTTGTGATAAGTACACGAATTTGCACTTTTAATAATCATAATTGTCAAATTATTTTATCAAATTTGTAATTTTAATTTCAAATATTCCTAAATCTAGAGGATTTAATTTTAATTAGATTTATTTTATTTTTCAGGTTTTTGAAGAAAACAATTGGATTTGGGCTAGTTTACCAAGCAAAACCCAAAAGTTGAGCCCAAGAAAAGCCCAATTCGGCCAAAAGCCCATCAGTCGAGAAGCCACGAGCCGAGCCAAGAAGCCGTGAGCCAACCCAGCGCCACGTGTCAACCACTGCCGCACCGCAGTCTGTGGGACCCAGCTGTCCCCGCGGATACACGTGCTTGGCGCGCACAGATCCTCTCCCCGGGCGAGTCTCCTCCACGCGCGCGTCACCCGGATTTCCTCTTTCTTCCACGTGGGTCCCGCGTTCTAGCTTCCCTCCAGCCAGGTCTCGCCACGCATCCCAGAGGGGCCCAGCTGCTCCCCCGCGTACACGCGATTCGCGTGCACGTTCCCTCCCTGCGCGAGTTCTCCTCCATGCGCGCGTCCAGTCTCCCTCCGCGTGGTCCAGCTGTGCACCACGTTTCTCCTGCGCGCGAATCACGTTGCGACACGTGTCCCACTCTTCAGAAACGTGATGGTTTTTCTTCCTCGATTAAGCCTTGTAACTTCTTAATTAGGATCCAGTTTTTAGCTTTTTAGCATTCTTAAAACTCTATAAATAGGGCCATTGTCAAGGTGATTAAGGGTGGATTTTTAGAGCCTAAATTCTCATATATTTTCTCTTATTTTCTTGTTCTTATTCTCATACTTTCTTTTTAGAATTTTATGAGAATTATGTGCAAGCTAGGCTAGAGTATTTAGGTGAGGCTAGAGATGATCTTATATGTGTAGTGAACTTATTTGGATTTTTGATTCTCCAATGGTTTGTAAGTTTTATACATTTGAGTAAATAATTTTCTTTTATCATATTTCTTCCTCTTATCAATATATTTTATTGTCAACTTTCATATAAATCTAGTCAAGCTTTTTTTATGTGATTGTTGCATTATATTATATATTGATAGGTATTGTTTTATGAGTAGTCTTTTACTGCATTATTGCCAACGGTATATTGTCGCTCTTAGATTTCTCATAAGATAATTTTTCCTAATTCTAAACGTTATAATTTTATTTACTCGAATACATTTTTAATTCATATGTTCTTCAAATATTTATTTTCCGATTGTTTGTTTGGGATGTGAAACTTTCAATTGAGTCAATTTATGAATCAAAATCCAAATAGGTGAACAAAGCATATGGAGGATTCTCAAAGCCTTACCACTTTTATTTATTGAATTTTTTCCATTTTAAATTGTTCAAAAAAATCATAAAAAATACCCATTCATTTTCTTTGTTTAATTGCTTATTTTCCTAACACTTTTTATTTGCTAATCATTTATTGTTCAATTTAACACTTCCTCGTGGGCTCGACCGTTCAAATTGTACTACAATTGACCGCTTGTTTTTGTACACATTTGGACGTAATCAGAGGGGGACCCACTTCTAAGTCAATACCACCGTGATGGTGTACCTGTAAGTGAAATAGATCCAAACAATGATGATGAATTTGATGACGATGACAATGATGACAATGTCCTTGAAGGGCCAGTTGTAACAACAAGTAGTGTTAGTCGTACAGAGATGGGTCGTTTTAGGGATCACCTTACGAATGAAATGTGGGTGGAATACCAGTGAAAAGCCGTGAGAGACAAGGTTAAAAGTACATATTAGCAATGAGATTCTACCTCTATTACTTCATATTCATGTATCCATTATATTCGTAAAAAAATTTTGACATTCATAACGTACGTTTGTATCATGTGAACGAATTTCTCTTTTCAACCTAAATGACTGTTATTTGCCTTACTTTTTGTCTGGCGACATATTTTTTTTTTTGCATTTATTTCTCATTTAACTTATTATAATTTTGAGTTATAATTTTTTGCATTTAATTTTTTTCCTAATATTTCATTTTTTAATTATGTAACGATTTATATTTCTTTAAATTACACCTAACGTAATTTACGCGGCCAAAAGTTGGTTCTTATTTTAGTTATGGTTCAAAATTAGAAAACAAAACAACAAAACACTAGTTCGAATCACATTTCAAGTTAAAATTAGAATCGTGCCTATACACATCCAAATAAAAGTTCTAATCACCATAAATCATGATTCAAATAATGAATTATGAGTCTGAATTTAAAAACTTAAATTACCCTGATTCTAATTCTTGTACCAAACTCACCCTTAAAACAAAAATCCAAAAAGTTATCTTTGCTTTTTTCACTTTTGGAGATGGAGAACTAGAGAAAAAATTGAGAGATGAGAAAAGTAGAGGGGTCAAGAGTTTGAGAGAAAAAAAGAAAAAAGATAGAGGTGTAGACACTCAGAGGCGAATAATAAAAGAGAGAGATTAATAGACCCGGATTATAACGCTTGATTTCCTGCAACCATTTGCACCAAATGGGGCCGTAGAACCAAGAAAAGAAAAAAGAAAGAAAGAAGTGAAGAAATTGTTGGGGAAATTTTGAATTGAAGAAGGAATGGGAAGAAGAGAGGCAACTTGACCCAAAAACTAAAAAAAGAAAAATTTGAAAGAGCTGAAGGGAATCGATGACGGTGGCAGCGGGAATTGGGTACGCCTTGATAGCACTCGGACCATCTCTCTCTCTCTTCGTCTCTCTCATCTCCAAAAAGCCCTTTCTCATCCTCATTCTCCTCTCCAGGTTATTCTTTTTCTTCTTTTTTCTTTTCTTTTCAATTGAGGAAAAATCAACTCTATTAGGGTTTTTTTTTTTTTTTTTTTTTTTTTTAATTGAGGAAAAAAAAACTCTTTTTGGGTTTTTTTTTTTTTTTTTTTTTTTTTTAATTGAGGAAAAAAAAACTCTTTTTGGGTTTTTTTTTTTTTTTTTTTTTTTTTTATACTTTTTACTTGGGAATTTATTTATTTATTTTTTTTGAGAATTTTTTACTTGGGAAATTTCATTACAAAACATTTTGGACATTTTGTTTGTTGAATTTTGCCTTAATTATTATTAGATTAGATTAGATATTAGATTAGATTAGATATAAGAAGAAGAATGAACCAATCCAGTTTAGATAATCATCTGTTTTAGCTTAATCTCTAATCTATGGAGTCGGATGATGTATTAATAGTTGTTCAACCTTTTCTATCAATCACGTTGAGAGAGATTTCACAAATGAATTTGGAAATCTACTCTTGTTAAACTTAAATGTGATTGCTGCATTATAATTATATATATATATATATATGTATATATATATACACACGCAGCACACTGTTATGGTTGATAAGCCTGATCGTGTTGTCGGGAGTATGGAGGGCGTTTCTCCCTCTGAACCCAAACTCTTGGTGGCTGTACGGCGTCCTTTTGTTCACGGCGGTTGCTTTTCAAGAAGGCTTGCGCCTTCTCTTCTGGAAGCTCTACAAGTGAGAATTTCAACCTTCATCATATCTATTCTTGACTTTTTGTGTTGTTTTTTTTTTTTTGTTTGTCTCTGTCTCTGTAAGTAACATTCTCTTTTTACTGGATTTGGCTTGGGATTCATTCTTGAAGGAGGTTGGAAGATGTATTGGATGCTTTTGCTGATAGAGTATCGAAACCACGCCTATATGCCACCGATAAGATGCAAATTGCTCTCGGTATGTTTAAACTCTAAAAAGAGGTTTTCCAAACTCTTATCAATAACCAAAATTACTAAAATCCTTTGTTTCCTGAGGACCCCTTCGTATTTGCTTGCACTTGCAGCTGGCGGTCTAGGTCACGGCTTGGCCCACGCTGTGTTTTTCTGTCTCAGCCTCTTAACGCCGGCATTTGGTCCAGCTACATTTTTCGTTGATTCGTGCTCACAAATACCCTTTTTCCTTGTTTCTGGTGAGTCAATTTTACAAGGTTCTCATTTGCGAAACAAATTCATCATCTCATATTTGCGTGTATAGTCTATGCAGTGAAGATTGTTAAATTGTAAATTGCAATGCCTATCGTTTTCCCTTTAACTAAGGAGCATATTTTTTAACTTCCTTGTTTACTGAATTGGATTTTGATTTGTAAAATATTAGTAGTAAAAACGTATGCATATTATTCATATGTAGATTTAATTGTTAAAAAAGACAACGTTGCAGCATAGACTTCACATGATTACTTGTGTAACAAAAGTTTAAATGGGCAGTCTTTTCTCTATTTATGTATCCAAATTTTAAAGAGAGGCTCCACCAATGAAAATATATCCTGAAAGTGCGAAATAGTGCTTCTTGAAGATTAGGTTCTTGGCTTACCATAGCTCAAAAAAGTTGTGTGTGTGTGTTTCTTAAAACAAACACAATTGATCATTTTTGGCAGATGCTTTAAGATTGTAGCCCGAGTCTTCTGACAAACCTTTGCTGTGTTGCAGCAATTATTGCTCTTGCATTTGTCACAATTCACACTTTCTCAATGGTTATAGCATTCAACGGATATGCGGAAAGTAATAAAGTGGACCAGTTGTTTGTTCCTATAGTTCATCTTGTTGCAGCAATGGTGGTAAAAATCCTAACTCTGACTTTACACCGCCATACAACCTACATGCATACAGATGCTGTTTTTGTAAACATGTATCGTTCTATGTATGGATGTATGCTCAATAATATTTTTCATTTCACAGCTCAAAAGTTGAAACTAGTTGAGCAAGACATATTTTGAGCATTCTATGTATTATTGGTTGCTATAACCATTCAGTTTTGGACCTTGAACGTGGAACTTTGAGGATGAAAAAAAAATATTGATGTCACACCATCAAAATGATTTAGCTTCTGTTATTTTGAAATTTTTACAGGTTTTTCCTGTGTCATTTCGTTTTATCTAAATAAGGGAAGATTTCTTAATGCCATTTAAAATCGTTACACTGTACTAGTCACTTAAATATTCCAAATATAAGTAGTTCTGTAACCAGTATACCTCCATATATGCACATGCACATGACAATTTGGCTCGAATTTAAGAGCCTTTATGAGCCAAAAGAAAACTAGAAAAGTAAAAGAAAACTTAAAATAGGGAAGTAAAGGTCTTTCTTTCTAAGCCTTTTGAATGATTTGTCAACTATTTTGACAGTTTCTGTTGATTTCTGGGGTGCAACTACTTTGCTAATTTCTTACTCGTTAAGTGAGTTTTGGTTGTGTATTATATGTAACTTTTGGAGAATTTGTTCAATCCTTAATAGACAATCAAGTGCTTACTATTTACTTGAGAACTAATTCTACCCGATGATTTTGCCTTTGTGTTTTGCAGACACTAGTTAATTTCACATCTGGGGGTTGCGTTATCGGTATTCCTCTAGTCTATATTGTTGCAATCTTGACTCTACTACATTGCGGTAAGATGGTGTGGAGAAAATTGACGGAAGACCGAAGTCGACAGGCGACAATATAATTCATTGTCACCAACAACTTGTATGGAATCTTTTCACTTTTTTTTTATTCCAGTTTTGTCTCTTGAGTACAGGCAAACTCAAACTCAAACTCAAAGTTGAGCATGAACAAATTCCAGAAAATGAAGAAATGTTTTTGTTAATGCATGAGGATAAGGCCCACTGTGTTAGGCACGGCAAAGGTGAAAAATATTCTCATATATTACGGTCCCGTTCATTTCACCGATTTGAGTTAGAATTCGAGTTGTGTTCTAGTAAAAAATTCTCAAAAACAGTCATATTTAACTTTTTTATTACAGTAAAAAATTTTCACATAAAGTCATAAATCAACTTGAATCAGCGAATTAAACAGGTCCTACACTTATTTCGTAGATAGATATTCTGTGTATTCGGTTGTATCAATGTAGCTCGAAGATTCACGTGAAAGTTGAAGTTACGGATCAATCCTGTTAGAATAATAGGTTTTCATATCAACTTAAATATGTTAAAGTGGTAGCAATATATATATATATATATATATATGTATGCATATACTATGCCAACTCTTATATCTAATCTAATCTGTCAAACTATATTAAAAGAAAGAGTATGTGCTTGGTCCACTGTAGGTGTTGGTCGTCATTTAAGCACCGTTTCGGTTGTACTTTTCCCCCCCCACCCCCCCCCCTCCCCCTCTCTCTTTTCTTTCTTTTTTTTTTTTTTTTTTTCTTTTAGCTCATTCATTTTTTTTTCTTTGGCTTGCAACCCTTATTGGTGTTTCTTCTTCTTTCTTCTTTTTTTTTTTTTCTGTTTTCTTTTCCTTCTAACTCTTTTATTTCTTTTTATTTTCCATACTCTATTAAATACTATGCCGTATGATAAAATAAATCATAAATTACAATTTAAAAGTTAAGTATCTATTCTTGATGAAATATTAAGAATTTATTTTCAAAATAAACTTTATTAGAAGATCAAAATTAATAAATATTTATCATATATCTTAAAAACATATAATATTATCCAACGTCCAACATCCATAAAGAATTAACACGTGCTTCACATGAATTAAACTATATTATTTTGACAAGTTGGAGCGGAGACGATGGTGGAGCCACAAAATTTTTTCAAGAACGTGAGTTAAATAAAAATTATAAAGGAAAATAACAATGTAACTTTCAATGTTTTCTTTTTAAAGCTTTTTAGCCTTTCTCATTCATCTTTTCTAATTTCTAATGAATCAAACCTGTAATTGAGTTTAATTCACTTTCTAAAGTTTAAAGTCAGTAAAATTATGCATTTAGATAACAGTGTAGTTAATTTTTTGCTTTTATTATAATTTTAAGTTTGAGTTATTAGTATTCTTGAGACTCATAATCTAAAATATAATTTAAAGATTTAAAAAGTTTGATTAAAAATAATTATACATGAAAAAAGTGTTAGTCAGTTCCGGTCATCCAGAGTTGAACATGAAAAATTTGTGATTAATTAAAAAAATATAGTGATGATCACAAGTATTATTATTTTGTGTTAGCCAATAGGATTGGATTAAAAAACATGAAAAAAGTAAGTGGGCCGTAAATTTTTTTTTTTTTTTTATTTTTTTTATTTTTAGGAAAAGGAGATGAGAGAAATATTAACGTCATACTTTTTTACTATTTTTATTACTTTCTACATTTATTATTTGACACGTAGACTTCACAATCTCAATTTATGTTTAAATGATAATATATCATGTTAATAAAATCTACACGTGAAACAATGAATGTAGAAAGTGATTAAGAAAATAATATAAAGAGTGACGTTAACATTTCTTAATGAGACATACTTTTTAGTATGTGATTATTTACTCCTTATTTTTAATTAATATCATTTTTAATCAAATAACTATATTAATAAAAAATGTAGTAATCAAGACTAACATTTTTGAGAATAAGTTTAACAATTTTCTCTTTGTTTCTTTTTATTATTTAAAAGGCTTCTTTTTTCTTAGGATTATAGTGATCAATCACTAATTTATCAGTGATTAACCATTTCTAAAGATGAACATTTTGTTGTTGTTGTTATTACATAAAATGAAAAGAAGAACAATATTGTAACATTAACCTTCTGAAATTACGTAATGGTTTGATTTACAGTATATGTTGTACGTATATTCAAGGAATTAAAAAATAACGAAAGAAAAGGGAAAAGGAGAAGAGGAGAAAATATTACATGAAGGCATAGGAACAAAACTAGACGTTTACCAACTAAACCTTTACGACCACCATAACTCCCTCATCACTGAGCAAAACAAGAAAAAAATAAAAAATAAAAATAAAAAAAGGTTTATGATCTACATAATACACAAATAGAAATACAAACAATATCAAATGGAATTATGATATAGAGTTATTTTGGCAACTTTTTTGTTGGGTGTTTTTGGTCACTTGAGAAAAAATTTCCAGACATCTCTATCAGGCATCTCTTTGACTAAATGGGCTCCAAAAATGGCTTCTTCATCAACCAGACTTCTCAAGTGTCTCGCTCCACTGTTGAACCCAACATAATTCTTCTTTGTTGCCATGTATGCCACTCCATAAGGAGGCCTCAAACACTGCTTTTCCAAAACAAAAGAAAAGAAAAACCACTATTACAAAATGAATTCAAGAAACTCTCATGTAAAACAAAATGAGGAAGGGTACAACAAACAGTTTACCTTTTTTATCAGCGCATAAAGCTTCTTCAATGAGGTCAACGAGTAAGGAATATCCGTCATCAAAATAATGTCGTATCCACCTTCTCCTTGATCTGTCTCACTAGCCCTCTCCCATGCACGGCTCCCCGAGAGCTTCCTTGATCTCCTCGAGGAAGATTCTTGCCCCAGAATGCTGCCATCTTGGCTGCTACATCCATCCATAAAGTCCTCCTCTGAAAAGCTCAAGCTCATCCCCGTCGTTGCTTCAAACCCTTCACCTCTCACGACTGACAGGACTGTGGGGAGCTCTTCCCAGTCACCGGCGTAGAAGTGCACCGAAGGTGCCAGAGTTTGTCTCGATGGAGTAAGGGGGCTCTCCAGCTGTCGGCTTTGCTTGTCACGAGCTTGTTCGAGGTTGGCAAGAACGTTTGGTATTGTAGTGCATCTTATGGTTTCTGCGTTGAGGTCTTGAAAATGAACTGTGGAAGCTCCCTGTGAAGTGATTAGTCAGAAAGACGACAAGTGAATTCTATAAATAAACCTTTTTTTTTTTGGCTGAAACTATAAACTAATCTCTTTCTTACAATGTTCACCAGACTACTAAAGCAAGTTGCCAATTGATTTTGTGATCCTAAAAAAACCTTCAAGGTTGAACTACATGTAAATGCCATTTAAAAAAAAAAAATGAATTTGCAGTAGCTCGGATTCGACGACTTGTTAACTAAAATATATGTACTATTTTGGATACAACGAGAGGACCTCTTGCTTTGCCGTTTTTCTGGGATTCTCTTTCTAAAGAAAGTATTCTAGATCTTTAGATAACATAACACAACGAAAATTAAAAATAATAAAAAAAGAATAATAATAACTTAAAGAAGCCTTGATAAGTTGTATCTATCAATATAATACATACCTTTAGACAAGCAAAAATCCCTGGCAGTCCATAGCCGCAACCTAGCTGCAAAAATTGTTACGTTGATAGAAAAAAATTAACAGATAGAACGAGAAAAGTTACAAGTCATTGCATTCAAGTAGTAACAAGAAAATCTATGAGAATAATTTCAGCCTAGAATTCCCAATGTTATATAAACCTAAGAAAACAAAGGCTCATTTGAAAGCTTGAGGGAAAATTTTGTCACTCTCCGATATCTAGATCAAAATTGTATCTCAAGAAAAAGCCAACAGTCATCTTGATAACCCAGCCTCTGAAGCAGCTTTTTGATATGTTTTCTCCCAGAGAACAAATATTTTTTTGGCATACAGCTTTTGTTAGGTTTAATGTCTTCTCACCCCAATTGTCTAGTTGTATGGAGCTGCTCAGGAATTTCGAGCTTGACTATGCCAAGGGTTCAACAAAAAGCTCGTTTGAATCGACTACTGTATCATCAAGATGCTATCCTAGGATTTGATGCAGTGAATAATTCGTGGTGGAAGGAAGAAGACATGCATGAACATAGTTAATAGAAACGTGTAATATGTGCAGTAGAAGCATTTGCTTATGGAATTACCTCAAGTACCCTTTTTCCCCTAAAGCTAAGTTGTCCATCACGAATTTCATGCTTAAGAACATTAACAAGATCAATAGAGCTGTCCCAGGATTTTAGATACCCTGCAAAACCAAAACGTTTTTCCTGCCTCAGATCATTAAGTTCATTACGAGTCTGAAATGAGTACACTGGTAAAATTTATTATTCATATAGCTAATCACTGTCAAATTCAATTAACAAACTTCTTTCTGATTACTGGGTGGAAAGCTGTACACCTACCCTCAGGTTTTGAAGATATTGATTCTGAACTGTTGAACCCGATGATATCAGCAACACTAACTCTTCCCTGAAAGACATCAAGAAAGGAACTTATCATCAAAGGCTACACTAAAAGACAAAATGTGAAAAAAAAAACCCCAAGTTAAGACTACTCGCCGATAAATAAATAACTGCATAACGTTTTAAAACTCCAAAACAATGTACATACATACAAATGGGAAATGGCTCATAATTGAATTCGATGAATTCGATTCAGTTTACACGTTACAATTTATGTCCAGTTGAGGCTATTCTTCTTCAATTCAAGCACACTACACACTTCTTCAATGAAAGTAATTCAACGCCTCAGAAAGAGGTTGAGATAACCATACAATATTTATTCAGTTACCTTGAACACATTAAGTCCATGCAAGTCTACATTCTCCCCAGCATACTTGTACGGGTGCACCGACTGCGCATCACAAGAGAAAAAGCATAAAAACTCCAGTCTAGAAATCTCTTGGCATACTATTTAACATTCCAAATTAAAGTCAGAAATGGTTGAATCTATGGACAGAAATAATAAGACCTTGGATGGGAGAATCTCAACGGCTGGTGATGGGAGATGCAAATCTCTACCCGAAATGGATGTCAAGCTGTGACTTCCTTTGTCATTGGGAACCAACCCAGGCAAGCATTGTGCGAGCAATGATGGCGCACGCATCGTATCTTAACCTCCAGAAAAGATGATTTTACGACAATGAAAAACTAACCTGCGTAATGCATTATCAAAATATCAAACAAAAGAATTCCAACACTCCAAGGAAACGATACAGCAAATGCAAATGCAATTGGAATCACATTTAACATTCAGCAAATTCAATAAACGTGAAGGTTCATGCCCAGCCAAGTTTCATGAGTTTCAAGTTTTCTATTTCCTTTTATTTCCATATTTTCTTTTAGTTGCCCAATTTGTTTTGATTCCTGTTTTTTGCCAATATCTAATTCATTCAATCAATCATATTCAGCAATAGTATTGTCTTGTCCAGTATTCTCTCTTCTTTAGTGGAACATCCAAATCCAAAACGAATTTTTCATCTAAAGTAATGAGAGAAAATATAAATGAATAAAGCATCTAAAAAAAGAGAAACAGCTTACATCATCTAACTTAAATTATAAAAAAAGGGATAAAAAATCAAGCAATTATGATAAATTTTCTCAAATTAAACAAAAAGAAAAACAAACCCACGTCATGAAATGCATCAAAGAAGAAAGCCCAGAAAACAAAATTAAGTAAAATTACGTTTAAGAGAACAATACAATACCTGTTGTGAAGAACAGAACAGAAAAGAGTCAACGTCAATTTCAATGGCAATGGCAATGCCCAGTAGTAATAATAATAAGGATTGGAAAGAAAACACAGAATCTGAATCTTAAGGAAAAGCCCTTTCTTAAATCACAAACCACCGAAGATCCAAATTAAAAAGAAGAAGAAAAGAAAAGAAATTGTTCTACTTGTTAATTCTGATGAAATCAAATGTTGATGATCAAAGTCATACAAATAAACGCCATGTATTTTATTTTATATATAACTTAAGCAGAACAGCAAAACAACTTCAAAGAAGCTTCGGTTTCCAGAGGAGAACTATGACCCACATGAATTCCCCAGAATGCCCCTCCTTTCTCCCTTAAATATCGGGATGTGGCCCATTTTAACAATTATTATTAATTTAAATTAGAACACAAGTATTTTATACTAACACGTGGAGAATAATCCGTATGTTAAGTTTTAATTACTGTGATATTATTTTTTAAAAATTTATTCACTAATAAAGATGTTAGTTAATACATAATTAAAACAAACGTCTTTATAAGTATTGCTATTAAAATAATAAGGATTACACAGTAAAAAACTAAATAACTAAATAGAGACACAACTAAAAAAAAGATAGAACGTTTGGGGAAAAAAACTATTCAAAAAAAGTACATTAAAAAAGGATTACACTGAAAGAATCTTTTAGCAAAACAAAATTAAAACAAATAAAATACGGGCTCATATGAAGAAATATGTTAATAGGAGTAAAATAAGGGAAAATTTTCATTTTAAAATCATCCAACACAAACAAATTGGATAGAATCCATGTATTTAAAAATAATAATTGTAATTAAATATGGTGTGAAGGTAAAGAAATACACGTGACAATAAAATTTTTAAAATAAAGTTTTGAAATGAGACACATTTAAAAACATATAGATTCTGAATATAAAATTTCAAAAAGGAATCAAAATTTTAAAAAATAAAATAAAATTTAGAACAATAAACAAAAAAAAAGTAAAAAGAAGACCAAAATAAAAAATAAATAAATTTTAAGGCTAAAGGAATCAAAATGTAAAAATAAAAAATAAAAAAAATAAGTGAGCAAAAAGCAACAAAAAAGGCCAAAAAGAAATAAAATAAAAAAAATAAATTTTAAGAAAAAAAAATAGAAGACTTGAAAAAAAGGAAAAAAAAAAAAAAGGAACCAATTTTACAAATTATTAACTTGTCCACTCTATAATTCACGACTACTAAAGTCTTGGAAAGAGTATAAATTCTAACATTTTAATAATTTACTATTTTTCAACCCTTAAATGACAATTTTACAAATTATTAACTTGTCCACTAAACAACTCACGATTAGTAAAGTCTTCATTTAAATGCTCATAATTATCATATAATTGAGATAAAGCATAAATTAAATACGAAATTAAAATCTAATAATACAATGTCTAACCTCCAAAATCCATCACATATGTGTTTAATAAGTTTACAATATAGTATAAAATAAAAAACAATCTTTATGACATGTTTAGCTATTATGAACAGAAAAAAGCTAAATGACGCTGTAATTACAAGGCGTGGGCCTCATGTCCTTGCGGGGATCACTCCTTGTGAGTGCGGAGCTTCTGCAGAGCTGTATAGCACAACGCATTACAAGTGAGGAATGCGAGTAGAAAATGCTAATTAAACTTGTCATTCTTATATTTATTTACTCAAATTTATCTTAGAATGTGAAAGAATTTACTAAAAAAGCATATAAATTAATGTACAACATAGGATTTGAATTCGCAATACTCTCGATTTTAAATCTATAATTTAAGTAAATAATTTATTATGACCTCTAATTTTTATTTTAAATTCTACCCATTTCATTTTTATCCCTAAGTAAACGCGTTATTAATATATGTTGGTTTTTAAACTTATAGACTATGAACTATTAGCATTGAGATTGTTTCATCCTTAAACATTTTCTCTACTTGATTAGTTCTTGAACTCTTTTTTTTTTTTTTAAAAACCTTATCACAACAATCTTCTAGAAAATCCAAAAATAATAATAATAATTCTAGAAAGCATTTGGCCTAAAAATCCTCTAGAAAGCAAAGCATACCTTAGCGGCCGTGTCTGTCCTTAAAAAAAAGAAAAATCCGCGTTCGGAAGCGGAGTATTATGGTAAATATTGAAATACACAAGGGCATCTTTATAAAAGAAAGAAATGAAGGGTAAAGTGGTCATTAATGTAATGGGAAGGGAAAGCGAAGGGTTGGGGTCGGTCGGCGGTCTCAGAGTGTAAAACGGTGTTGTCCCTGCACCTGCCCCACGCTACTGCCACGTGTCTCACATCCTTTGTTATTTTCTAATTACATATTCCTAGTTGGTCTAGTTTTTCCTTGGTCTTTGGTAAGCGTTTGGCGGCTAAGAAAATGGATGATTCCTTCTTTTTTTTTTTTTTTTTTTTTTAAATGTTGAGAATAAGGGACTCCCTAACCATTGACTTTGGACCGTGTCAAGATTAAATTTGCAATGGATTCTTGTGTTTCACAATTCCATTTGGCTACTATAGGGGTAACCAATGTTTTTAGAAATGTTTCATATCTTCGTCTTTTTTTTTTCCCAGTGATTTTTAATCCCTCACCTTTCAAAAGAACGGCCATTATTAAATTATATGAAATTTTATAGCTAATTTAGGGACTAATTATAAAAAAAATGGACTAAAAGTTCCAAAATTACAAGAAGTTGGTAGGAGTGCTAAAATAATATGGGTTCGTTCATTTCATCGATTCGAATTTTGTTACAGTGAAAAGTTTTAAAAAACAGTTCCATTTAACTTTTTTACTATAGTAAAAAACTCTTACATAAAGTCACATATCAATTCAAATTAAAAACTCAAATCAGTGAACTAAACGGTTACTTATTAAAAAAGAAAAAAAAAAGAGGCAAAAGTCTATGATTTCATTGTAAGTATGACGAAAATTTCACCGAATTTTCCTAAATTTTGTGGAAATTTTGAAGTTTTGAGGGTCCCCAAAATTTGATTTTTGAGGGTTCCGAATAAAAAAATGGTGTATTAAGAATTAATACAGTATAAGAGAATAAGGGTGTTTTATTATATTGTATTTGTGTCGTTTCCATGTATTATATTATATGATACCCTAAAACACGAGAAAAGCCCAACCTTCTTGTCTTCTTCGATTATTCGACTCTATCAGTCTCTCTCTGTTCTCTCTTCCGCCCTAGCCGCCGCCCCAGCCCCTGCTTCCGTGCGGCGTCACCGTCGCTCCGTCGCCCCGTCGCCGCCGAGAACAAAGGTGAAGACACAATTTCAGATTCTGAATCTTCTTCATAGCGTATTAGGTATTTATGTTTATACATCATAATTGATAAATCTAACATTATATATCTTACAACCCTTCCATCAATTTTGTCATTTCGAAATCTGATAATAAACTAGGTTTAGGTTGTATATATATATATATATATATATATATATATATTTGGAGATTAATTCTACTCCTAGTATTTATCAAGAAGAACAAAAAATTAATTATACTGGTAATTCCTATCTGGGGAGTTGATGTTGGTTTAGTGTTCCAAACCGTAAACCAATATACAGATGCAATGATAATTCTACAGGTGCATATAATTTCGTGCTTCCTCCTAGAAATTATTTGTCGTATGTTTGTTTTCTACCTTGGTTATTTATTTTCTTTTTCTTTCCAATTGGAGGTTTTACTATCAAATTACTAAACATATTTTGAGTGAATTGAATTGTTCCATATTTTCAGCTCCAAAAGACTACAAATTGAGGTTCACAAACGTACGTTGAATTCTCATTCATGGATCCTCAGCCCGAACCAGTCAGCTACATTTGTGGAGGTACTCTTACCCCTTGACTCTCTCTCTCTCTCTGTCTATATATATATATGTATATAATTTTAAGGTTTGGTTTTTGAAGACCTTGAAAGTTTAGCGATGTTGTTGTAGATTGTGGAATGGAGAACACTCTGAAGCCAGGTGATGTGATACAATGCCGGGAGTGCGGTTACCGTATCTTGTACAAGAAGCGCACCCGCCGCAGTATGTTCTCATATTTCATTGAATACATGATTCTTCAATGTTGCCTTAGAAATATAGCTAAGCTTAGGGATTATAATGATATATACCAACAGCTTAATGTGTAGATACTTTCTTAATTCCACATTACCAAAACAAACAATTTAGGGTACTACAAAAGCACATTGCGAAATATGTTCAAACCTTTATCGGCATGAATAGAGCGTTGAGGCGAAATTTGAAAAGCAATGTGCTGTTACAAGTTAACTCAACAGAGCGTGGTTTAATTTAATCTGATGGATTTTGAAGAGCCCGAGGTTGGCTTTGTCGATCATTGCCATAAACTAGTTAGGAAGTGTTAAGTGAATTCTCTTTCACTGCGTGGCTGTATCTAGAGTTATACCCTCAAATATCTCTCTTGTGAAACAGTGAAAGTGAAACATCATGTCGATTACTCAGAAAAATACCATTCTCTTAACCCTTTTACATTTTCCCATTTTACTTCTCATATTGTATTGCTCTTGTGCACTGCTATGTTGGTCATACATGACAAATTGTCTTAATTGACTTGAGACCATATTAATTATGCTTTGGTACCACATGTTGAGAGACTACTTTTGAGTTTGTGGTTTCGTAGGAATTAGAAAAGCATATTTTGGAGTGACGTGACAATTTTGCATGTAACTTGGTTTATATTTGTTGTGTGTAATGTTCTTCGAGTGCCTAAGGCAGATATCCCCAGACCTACCTCGGGTTAGGCCAATTCATAAAGCCCGGTGGCCTAAAGCTTTGAGACACAATTTGATGCTTTTGCTTCTCCTTAGGATTATGAGGCTTCCGTGTTGTTGTGTGGTGCTGTATAAAGTCAAAAACAAAACGTCATGCCACCCTTTAAAACATTGCTTGTAGGACGTCTATTAAAATGTTTGACAAAAACGTTGTTTTTACCTTGAGCTTAAGGTCTAGGCATAAATGTGGATATGCGTCAAAGTCAATAATAGAAATGAAAAGGAAACTGACAAGATAATAGAGATGAAATAGATTACAGAAAGAGGCTAATAGCTAGTATAGAACTTATTCCATTATAATGTGGCTTCCATGAAAAGAAATAATCTCTTTGAAATTCAACTGGTATCCTGCAGCAAGGGTTTTACTTTTTTCTTTTAATCACTTAAAGCTAGAATTTACCATTCTCTGTGATTCTGCTGGTAGGATATTGCCTACGGGTAAGCCGATATTGAAACATGGGCATGGATGGATGTGCGAATATTACCACCACATGTTATTTTTTTGTTTATTTTTATATGTGGAGCAGCTGTATATCCCTTTGTTCTGACTAACACCATTGTTATTTCAACTGTGTTGTGTTCTGTGTTCAGTTAGGAACATCTGTTGTAATATTTTTTGGAGGGAAAATCAACTACCACCATACCTTATCAGTCATTTTAACTAACACCGTTTTGTTTTATTGAGTTGGGATTTCTATTTTGGTAATAGGAGCATCTGTCGACAAAAGGATCACCCTAAGATGATCATCTCATGGCTATTGAGAACGAATCATATCAGATGGTTCTATTTCTCAATCTTTCTGACTTGCTCCTACGGTCGAAAAGATTGAGAAAAATCATTCATTCACAACCACTGATGAAGGATTCCTCATAAAGCTTTTCCGTGGATATTTTTGATAACATCTGTCCGATTGTTAGATACTAATTCTTTTCCCTAAGATAAGGGGATCATTAATTTTTTGATATTTCTGTATAGCGCTTGTTGTTCCTTTCATGGTCGCATTTTTCCATTTCTGAGAATGTTGGTGATGGTCTGTTTTCCAATTTATGATATACTGCTATCTTATCCTCTTTTTTTTTTTTTTTTTTTTTTGTTGCCTTCTTTGCAGTGCTAGTTATTATAGTTTGCTTATTACAACATGCATGTTTTTAACTGCCGATCTAATATGAGTGTTGCTTGCTTGTTGCAGTTGTTCAGTACGAGGCACGTTGAAGAAGAGATTTGGGAAGAATAGAATACTACGTCTTATCTCGGTGCACTTCTCGTGTTTGGTTTCTTCAACAACAACCAAAAAAAAGAAAAGAGAGTTTTTCATGGGGGTTAATGAATTGTTTGTGTGTGAAGAATCAATCAGATTGGAAATTCTCTCTAGTATTTATGCTGCTTGAAAGATATTACAACTTTATTAATGGTAATGTAATCAGACGGACATTTTTCCAATATTTTCATCTGTTACTCTAGAAATGAGCAATCATCTCGCTCTCACCTCTCAACTTATTTTTAATGCTTTTCTATGATACCCTTAACAGTTGTAACCGTAAAACCACCCGCCACGATGTGATCTTCCGGATCGGTGGTTGCTGCGGCTAGATCGAGGCAGTAGCCATGTGGTTTTCCACGCAATTGAGTTTTTTTTTTTTTTTTTTTTTTTTTTTTTTTTTTTTTTTTTTTTTTTTTATTTTTTTTCGTCGTTTTTAAAGTTAGTTGATAAATCTATTATATTGTTTGGATAATTCTTTGATAAGAAATGAGAAAAAAAACTTATTTAATATAATATAAAAGATCATATTGATTATATATGGTTTCACTTTATATAAATCTTAAAAACATGCACTATTGACAATACAATAAAAAGACCTTTTTTTTAATATTATAAGTGCTTATTATTCGATAATGATACACTGAACAAATTCTCATATTTCACTAGCCATGTACCTCGGAGAACGGAGAGCAGATCGAGAAAAACGTGCACACAGAGAGAGAGAGTGGGCGAGAGCATTTTCTTTATAAAAATGTTATTTTTTTAATTAAATTTTGAGTTTATAATGTTTATGTTTAAAAGAATATAATCAGACTTTTTTCCTTTTTTTAAAAAAAAACATGTTGGTTCAACATTTTTTAAAATAATAGTTTCAAATAAGTTATGAGAAACTTTATATTTTTAATATTTTCTTTCTTAAAAAGCAAAACACTAATAAAATCCGCTACATAATACATATTTGCTCTTTTGTTTTTCCGCTCATTGTTGCCTCTAACCAACTATTGTTGTGAGAATTGGTGCATAGTTAATATTCTTAAAGGAAAAAAATTTAATAAACTCCAAATATCATACTTAATTAATAATTTAAAGTCTAGAAAACACATAGCATAACGTGTACATTTTAATAGGAAAAAGACAAGAAAAAATTTTAAAAATGCTCATTTTTGGTGTACAGTATTGTATTATTTTGATTGACGACTGCAATCCGAATTAATCAGGATCGGGGTTGGGATTGGGGTTTGGGAATTTATTCCCTATGAATAAATGGACTAAAACTGTTCAATCATAATTTAAAATGGCAACTAAGTCCTATATATCAAAATCCAAATTATCGAAAGAAGTACAAAGTGAAGATTGGAATTTAAGAAATTCTGATAACGTGATATGGCGATCGAGAACATAACTTAATTTGTTTGTTTTTGTTTTTTTTGTTTTTGTTTTTTGTTTTTTGTTTTTTGTTTTTTTTTTTGTATTTCTTTGATTAATTATTAATCTTCGTTTTGTACTAATTTGCCGTAGATAAAGGATTTTCATATTGCTAAAAGAGAGGAAGATGTTGCCTACTATGTTGGTTATGTAGGTGAGCTCATGATCTTCATATTGATTATCTAATCTTTTGTTATAATTTGTATTTGATGCAATATTATGTGTCCAGCTAATTAATTAATAAACTTACCTACTTTTATTAATTATGTCTTAATAATAGGAACTGTCAAAGTGTTGGTATATGACGTCTATAATTACTACACTACTTCTTTTCTTTTCGTATTTTATAAATATAAATGTAAAAAAAGTTCACCTTTATTCATGATTCATATCTATCTCTGAAATATATAGTATGCTTGAATTTTGTAAATTCAGGGTTATTTTCAACACTCCGTTTGGCCTTAGTGTAAACTTTTGGACGGTCGTCAGTATAAGGTTTCTTCTTGAAAGTTCCTATGGTTTAATTGGACCTGTATTTATAGTCTCTGTCTCCCTCTATTTTATGCATGAATCGGCTATAAACAGCTGGGTTAACTTTCTAAAGTCAACACTGTTTTGGGTGTTCTCTCTTATTTTCTCCCTTTTGGACTTTTTCTTTTAGTTTTCAACATAAGTGTACATCTCATATTTTTGACAATGAGCCACCCACATCGACTAACACTAAGCTCTAGGAATGACAACTGTGAGAGATTTAAATTTGGCCCATATTAATTAATTAATGCCTGCCTAGTGCAAATTTTAAACTACATTAACATTTATTGGGAAAATAAATAAATAATTAATTGTTATTTCACGTTAGTACAGCATGGGCTATGGGAATGACCATCGGACCGGGAATGGGAGGCTTCTTTGCCCAGGTAACTCTTGCATGCTGATCATATTGCTCCTTTATATTAAATTGGTTATCTTTAATTTCACTTTGGGGACGAAATATACCTAAGAAAAACACACACACACTCTCTCTGTATATATATATATATATATATATATATATATCCTTGCAAATTTTTATTTTTTGTTCAGCCAGCGGACAAGTATATTCTAAGTATATTTTCCAAGACTTCGTTCTTTGGAAGGTAGTGTTTTGTATGTCTTATTAATTATCTCAACATTATATATATCTAGTACTGTATTCTATTGCATTGCATTCAATCATTCATTGTTAAGAATAATCACAGAAAATACTAACAAATTTTCAGTAAAATATGGCATATTTTCAATAATATATTATAGAGTTTTCTATATATATATATATATATTGTTTGCAGATGACATGGTACTATATATATATATATATAATGATAGATCTAGAGATCAAAGGCTTAAATAATCAAGTCTTACAGAAAGGTATACACACTACACATCCAAGCGTAATTAATTAAGTCTTACATTAAATTTGTAGCCACACCTCCATCTTACATTGAGATTGCAGTGCGTATAACATAATAGATGAGATAGAGATGGCGATATTATTTATTTATATATTTATTCGAACACAAAATGAAAACATGCATAAAATGGAAACACGCTTACGTAGGAGATGATGAAAGTAAAGAAGATAGATGGCAGAAACAAGTTAAAATCTCAAATCAACAATCTCTTTTGGGAATGCAAAGTTGGCCAGTCATGTGCCAACTTTCGCCTCCACCAGGATGCACATACGGGCATGTGGGAGCGAAGTCGAACTGGCCTATATAGTGTTGAAGGTTCCACTGTGCATCCATGTCAACAGGTGGGAACATGCTGGTCCAGCTGACAGTGGAATACTCGAATCTACTATGTGTGGCTCGTTTGAACGTTTTCAAATCCTTGTTCTTATGTATGTCCTTCGTGTCGATATCGAAAATGAAGATATCCCCGTAAGGCCTCACAGAGTGCACGAAGAGAGGCAGAGAAATTGGATCAACAGAAACTGCGGCAAGATCCGATGTCACAACGATGCTTTTTCCGTCCGGACTGAAGAATGGGTGGTTCACATGCCCTGCAAGGTCATAACCACTCCCTGCCACTCTTACCACCGCCGACGGGTTGCTTGTATTCACTAAATACACTGCAAAGTATCCTGGGTCGAGACCATTGTCGAAGTTTTCTTTTTTATATTGATCCGCCCCGTAAGGATTTTCACGGCTTGAAGAGAACACTATCCAATCTCCATTTGGGGACCATTGGCAATGTGTGTCTGTCCATTTGCCTTCTGTTAGCCTTGTTAAACACCCATCTTCCCCTGATTGTGCGTCCATTATGTATAGATTCTTATATTTTTCACTCCCTCCATTTCTTGTGGATCGATAAACTAATTGGGTCCCTGTTACAAGCACAAGTTTCAACCCATTCATATATTATCAATTTGTCAATTAAAAATGACTATATATATATGTATATATAAGGAGTAATTATACTTAGCGCCGATTACTTGCTAATGGAGGAAATTAATCAAGTTAATTACCTTGTTTATTTACCAAAAGAAATTTGTTTAGTTACCTTCTATATTGGTGGACGCGAAGGCATTATTGAAATCTCCTGTTGTGAGCGTTTTAAGTTTCGGATTATCAGCAGTTGACACGTTGATGAGGGCGGCGATGTCTAGTTTGTCATTAGGGCTGAAAGCGGGTCCCACGCACACGTACAGTGTATCCTTTTCTGGATTTCGGTTCCAAACCGTCGCAAAGAGGCTGTTTGGTTTGCCCGCCTGCATGAACAAATTAAAATTAGTACGTACTCTGAACACACTTAAAACTATATAAATAAATAGTAATGCTAAATATTTATATATGAGAATGAATATTAATCTAGTTAGTAATTACATATACATACATCGTAAACAACACGCAAGCCAGATGCATCGGCTAACCAGACGGCCTTGAACTCATTGTCAACAAATGCAAGCTTAGAGCCATCTTCGGAAAATGTTGGAAACACTCCCGGAACCCTAACCAGTTGTATGGCTGGATCCGCAGACTTGAGCTTGTGGAACCGCCTTGTGATACCGTCCTGACTCTGTCACAACTCACAATGAATTAGCTACTACTACTTCCGGATAATTAATTGTATTAATTGGTAGCTAGTTAGGCTCTCATAATAATTAGTCAAGTAGCGCGCGCGCATATATATATATATTTGATCGAGGAATTCAAAGTGGCTGGCAGTGGTACCTTGATGGTACGGCAACGATGGTAACCGATGCGCTTATTCTCACCAATAACATCAATCACAAAGGGGTTGAAATGGTCAGCCAATAGTCCGGTGTCTTGAGTGATTTTTATGTTGGATACTGTTTCTCCACTAGTTGCAGAATATTCAAATATCTCAATGTGCCGATACTGATCTTTCACACGGACATCATTGAAGCTTGATATTTGACGAATAGTTGCCACTGCTACAGTGGTGCCGTTGATGGCTGCCGGAGTGATGGCGGTAATATCCTCCGGGGTTATACGAACAGGTGGTACGAGAGATCTGCCGATGACGGCTCGGAACACACCCCAATAGTCCCCAACCTTGCGATGGAAAAATAGGACGTCTTCACTTCCCCATGTTGGCCACCCACCATCCGTTACAACCTTGTAGCGAGTTTGAATGGGATTGTCAATGTCAAACACATAAATGTTAGTCTCTAGATTTTCGATCTCGCCATCCCATCCGCGGTCCTTTCCCTCGAAGGACGCCACCGCTATCTTCCTTCCGGATGGTGACACGGAGGGGCTTAAATCAGCTTCCCCTGTTAGATGGAAAAACTAAATCAACTTAATTAATTAGTTAAAATAATTCGTTATATATCAAGGAAAATTAATTAGGTAGGAACCTGGGGGGGTGAGACGTTCAGTTTCTCCGGTGTTAAGATTGGTTTTATAAACGGCAGTCCAGGGTTGA